TAATTTCGTAGTGTAGACATACCCTTAGAGGTAAAACACAGCCATCTGCAGACAGTGGTCCTAGTTAATGGGAGTCATCAAGATTCCAAACCACCATTAATGGCCCACACTTCGCATAATTACAATAGGCCCTCAGAGTTGTATTTCATATTTCTAGTTTCAGATACAAGAGTGGTACATTTATACAAATAGGATGATCACACTCAGTAAATTATAAGCTTTGTAATGATACCTTACAAGAGACCTTTTGCATGAGGCATATTCCAGTTACATTATATTCACTTATTAGCATATTTTTATTAAACTATATAGACTGCAATGTCACAGGTGGCTTTTAATAAGTTTGTCCAGTTAGCGGAGATCCAATCTTAGGCAACAATCTACCTACTGTGTGAGCCTGCGTAGTAACTACACAAAATATTTAACCACTGGGTATGTTTTCCCCGCCTGTCTCTTTCTGAGATAAAGTCTGGAAGCTCAAAACAAATAATTTTGTGAACTGGCAGGTTGGAAAAATTAATTTTACACACATGAACCTGTAGAACTGCAATGGACTGTTACAAATGTTCGGTCTCTCTTCATTGCTGTTCCTAATTTTGCTATAGCACTCTTACAACCAAGCTTTCATTCCGTATGAAGGTTCTACACGTGACCTAATATTTACTTTGGGAAAAGGTGCTTAGACTGTTGGATTGTCTTTGTTGTTGTTGTTGTTATCGTGAGTACAGTGCTTTATACTAATGGGAATTCAGCATTTTTAAATGATAGGTTATCAGATTCTGTAATGGGGACCAGATTCCATTATCAGTTATCCAGGTAGTCTCCATCAGGAAGGCAATTACTATCTGCTGTAACCACAGGAAATAGAAGGACTTCTACCCTTAGATATAATTGAAGCTGCAGTTAGAAATTAGCTTTTGAATATAAATCCAGACTTGACACAGTACTCCCTCTTCCAGAAACTTTGCTTTATGATGAACACTTAATAACTATAATTAGGGTTTACAACCAGCCTGTTGTTGGAAATATTGATTTGTTGACTAAAATATTGATGAGTAGCTTGTGATTGCTACTAATGGAAGCATCAGAAAAAGCATGTCCCTGAGCTACTTTATCATCTTGAAAGTGTGCTCATTAAACATGAAATTCACCCCTCTTCACTCAAATCCCAAGTATTTAGGTTTTGCGCAATTAATTTCATGGAGCTGTCCCAGCTCTGCAGCCGCTGTTCTAACCCATGTGATAGAATGGTGACTTCTGCCCTTCTGTGGCTCTTGTACAGTGGTGTTTGTACCGCTGGATTTGCATAAGTGAAGATCCAGTTGCCCCCCTCCAATCTGTCCCATTTGGAGTTAGTGTGGAACACCCTTTAATGGTGCAAAAGTTCCTTGGTACCACTGCTCCACCTGTGATTTTTCCTAAATCCCTTCTGCTGCCTACCCCTACCTCCAGAAATACTGGGAGGTTTCCACAACTTCTTGCACCATGTCTTCACACTAGGATGAATTTCAGCTTTCCCTGTTGCTAGCCTCACCCATTGCCTGGCCATCTTTCAATAATAAAGATCCCTTCAGTTTCTTTGTCTTGTGCAAAATACGTAATAGTTTGTAGTCTGCTAGTAGAGTTTATTCCTGCGGGTTCAGTGGTTCTAAAGTCTTACTGGCAATGACTTTTCAATGAATCCACTGTATTCACTGTTGACCATGTTAAAATATGCGACTCATATCAGGTATTGAATTTGAGTTCCTTTTTACATATACTTTTTGGTATATTTTGATTTTTTTTCTAATTCTTGAAATGTTTGTAAATTGTAAGAGACAGTAATAATAGTATCTATCTATCTATCTATATATATATATACACACACACACACACACACACT